CTTCCATACTAGAGGCCTGGAATAATTGTAAGGGTAGGAACAGGAGGTAGATTCTTTTATTCCTGATCTGTGGGTGAGTGGGTGCTGTCATAGACAGAAAGAAAAGGGACTCATAAGAGTGGAGAAAGCAGGGATGTTGATGGGGGATCTCAGCACCATGAGGAAAGAAACCAGAGAGAGGACCAGGTCTCCTCAGCTTACCTTTGTCTCTCACCTGAAGCCATTCTGTCCCTCCCTCCCTCTGCCTGGGAACCTTCCTTCCTGGTTCAGCCCCTTGAAAATGTCATCTTTCCAAGTCAGGCCTGTTAAACTCAGGAACTGGCTGCCTGGCTCCTTTCTTTCTCTTCCCTGAAAGAGCCTCACAGCCTCACCTCTGACTTCCATCTACCCCACTGCTGAACGCAAAATTGGAACTTAGCCTCCCCTGTGAGGTGGGATAGGGCTGAGTGGGGCCCAGGGATAGGCCCCCAAGCCCAGGACTCTCTCGGGTTTCCTGGCCTTGGGTAGTCTGGGTTTCCATTCCCTCCCTACTCAGTGGGTAGCAACAGGGGCACATTCCAGTTGAAATTAAATCACATTCTTCCTTCCCTGTCTGACAAGGATGGCATCGCTGACAACAGCTGTGCCACCACAGGGTCAAACCGGCAGCAGCTGGTGTCCAAGGAGGGGCTGAGAAGGGGGTGCTGAGGGGAGTCTACGGCCAGGGCCTCAGGAGCCAGTGAATGAGTTTTTTTCTCAAGAGGTCAGAGCTAGAGAAGTGGACACCTTCAGTGAGAGGGATAAAGGTTAGTCCAGAGGGTAGCAAAGCTACATGGCGCCTCAGGCCACGCTGATGGCCCCATGCAAAGGAAGTTGTCCATCATCACCTTCTGAGAGGACCCTGGAAGGACATTCTCCCCACAGCGGACGTGAAGGCTGAGAGGGCCCTTTAAGAAGCCACACTCCAAGGCATCTTGTGCTTGGCTGGAATCCAATCCTGGGCCTTTGATTTCCTCGGAGTCTCTGGCAGTGGCCACAGCAGCAGCAGCAGCAGCAGCAGCAGGAGGAGGAGGGACAGCAGCGAGCAGGGCTGAATGGAGAGCTCAGCCTCTGACCTCACCCTCTGCGGTGCCTGGGGCTGCACAGCCTTATAAGGAAGTGCCCCAAACAAATCGAGGAAGCCACCTCCGGCCCCCCACCCTGAGCTGTCCCAAGGCTATATTTACCCAGAGGAGGCCCCAGAATAACCTCCCACTTGTCCTCATGCTAGGGAGGGGGTGCTGTCCTTCTCACTCCCTCCACTGAGGACTCCTCCCTCCCCAGAGCTTCCTGTTGTCTGACTTCATCACAGTCATTCATTCATTCATTCACGTGTACTGGGTACTAATAGTGCCCCCAGCACTGTCCTAGGGTCTGGATGATAAACAGTACAAAGTCGGCTTTCTAAACTAGCAGGGTCTTCTGCGAGGCCATACTCCCGTTACCCTCCTACTCTCTCACCAGCTTTGTCTTGGGTTCTCTGCTTTCTTCCAACAACCTTTTCACTGCAAGATCTGTAAATCAGGGCCACCCTTGTTCTAGTCTCCAGCCTGGTCCTCCAGAGTGCCAGGCCCATCTATCCAGCTTCCCCGAGGAGGTCACGATTTCACTCTGGCGACTCCACCACAGAAAATGGTGGTACCATGGTTCCCCAGAGCCCAGGTACGACCACTCCTACTTCCACTGTCCTAAACCCTCTGTCTCCCACACTGGAGATGGATTTGGCTTCCCTTATCCATCCAAACAGCAAGCTTGAGCTCCACAGACACTGTGAACATGGTATAGGACCAGGCAGGGTTTCGTTCTGTCTTGAGAACACTAGAGTCGAAGCTGGCTCAATTGTCCCTAACAGCAACACCCATCTCTGATCTGTGCTGTGCTCTCCATGCCCACTACTGCCCCCCTTCCCTGCCTGGATCCCAGCAGTCCCTCCCTGACTCACACCTGCCTGATGCATCATTTGCCAACAACAGTCAAAGTTCTACTTAAAAAGCACGCATGGTCTTGTCACCTCCCTACTTACAACCCTTCAGCTCTCCCCATTTCTGTTAGAGAGAAGTCCATGTTCCCTGCTGCCCGGTGACCCTGACTCCCTCTCCAGTCTCACTGTGAACTTACTTCTCCCTTTTGTGCACCTTCCAGCCACTCATGCATTCTTTCTATCCCTCTAATAACCAAGCCCTCTCTTCTTGCTTCAGGGTTTTGGACATGCTGATCCCTCTGGTTAGAATCCTTTTTCTTTCTCAGCCTCCTCACTGGTCAACTTCGCTCATCCTTCCTGTTCTCGGGATGACCATCCCTCACTATTCCCTCACACCGCCCCCAGCCAGACCAGAGGGGCCCCTTTGCTTTGCTGCCTTAACCAACTGCACTTCTCAAATGGGATTGCCCTCAGAAGCCCTTGTTAAATTGGAAGGTCAAGTCCTCTGAACTAAGCAGCATGTTTTCCCAGATGCTCTGTTGAAGAAGGAGGGGTCAATCTCCTTCTGTACCAGTCAGATCTGATTTGACAGTACACGTAAAATAATTTAAAAAAAAAAAAGAAGCATGTTTTCAGCTGCTCCTGGGTTCTCAGTGCCTGCACAGTACTAGAGATGGTCAGTAAATATTTGTTGGCAAATGACAATCATACCTATCTATTCCCAGCACCACAAAATTCCTCTTACCATCTCACCCCCATTTCTTTCTTTTCATTGTCAGACTATCACTTCTAAAAATAACCCTCCTTTCTTCCACTAAGTATTCCCCTTAGGAAAATTTTCACTTTTGTCTGATTTACATCTTTCTTCCTGTTTGAAGGGCTTATTGGCAGAGCTCTGTTTGGGTCTCTGGGTGGGACAGATGATTTAGTGCTCAGTTGCTTATTACAAGTTTGGCAGTTCAAGTCCACCCACCCAGAGGTGTCCTGAAGGCCCTGATTATCTGCTTCTGAAAGGTCAACGCCATTGAGAGACTCAGGGAGCCCGGGGTCACTGACACACATGAGCTGATTGTGAGTCCTAATTGATTTGACAACAAATTATTTGAGTTGTTCTGTGGAGGACCAAAAACCCTGGTATGGGGTAGGGTGGGCGCCCAGACACTGGGAAGGGCCACTTGGCTCAGCCTCTGTCCTAGGCTCTCTCCCAAGTGGGTTGCTCAAGGGCTTGGAGAACAAGCACAAGGTGCCTCTGTCGCTGTAGGGGGGTGCAGGGAGGGGTTCTACTTGCTCGGTGGAAGTCTGGTGGGATCAGACAGGGCCTTGTTAGCAGTGGGTGCAGGAAGGAGAGAGCGGAGGCCTGGGCTGCCAGGAGGGTGGGGTGGGAAAACAGGATCCCAAACCCTGAGGGCAGGGAGTGTGCATAATGGGGGTGAAATGGGTCTGCTTGCCCAGGATCGAGACTCCCAGATAGAGATGGGGAAGACAAGACAGTGGCAGTGGCTCCTGTCCAGTCCACCTACCCTTGGTTGGAGGGGTAAGGAGGGGGGAGCTGAGAGAGACTTCAGCCTCACATCTTCCCCCACCACCACCTTGGGCCCAAGGAGAGGAAGAGTCGGCTCCCAGATTTGGGATTATTTCCAAATATGGAACATTTGTTTGGCTGTCCCCATCCCATCCCCACCCGCGATATTTAGTGTTGTCGCCAGTTCTTCCTGCCCTGCTGAACTGAGCCAAGAAGTGCTTTCTATTTGGGTATTCTGACTTCAAGGCCTTCAGACCCCACCTAATCCAGGAACTTGTGGACCCCTCCCTGCTCAATGCAGGGATTCAGGGCACTAGCAGGGAAAGCAGAAGGGGGCCAGCATGAGAAGACACTGGCTTTAACCCCTGTCATCAATACAGCCTAGTTCCCAGACACCCCACCCCCCCTTGTTCTCAGCCTGACAGCATCAGTCCCTCACTTCCTTTCTGCTTCCCTTCTCCTGGGTAGAAGTCCCACTCTAGACCTAAGCTGGGACCCTGTGGCTTCTCCTCCCCTCCCCACCATCCCTGGGAGTTTATTTCCCCACCCCACCTCAGTCACCTGGCCTCCCTAATTGGGTGGCTGGGGCTGCAGTTCAGAAGCAGCTCAATAACGAACCTCAGGCCACACAGCCTGCCTGAGACACAGCCTCCCTCTCCCCTCACCCTGCTCTGACCCAGCAAACATCACAGGCCAGACACTGTTTGGATTTGGGGGCTAGAGGGCTTATTATGCTGGCGGCACTGAGGGGCCCGTGGGGAAAGCTGGCGTGGGGTGGCCTAATGCCTGTAATCAGCAAAGCTGTGGGCAGAAATGATGACCAGCCTGGCCAGGCGCTGAGGTCACCTGGACAGGCCTCCCCAGGGTCCTGGCTCTGCTGCCTGGAGCCTTAGTTGGTCTGTTGTCCCCCATGAAGCCTCCCAGGTCGTTCTTTCTTCAGGAGGAAGTACCCCCAGCAACACTTCTGCCCCCCTACCCTCACCCCCATGACCAGGGAAGGAAGAGTGTGGACTTTATAGAAGGGACATTGCTTTATTCAAGTAGAGATGAACCCGCAGAGCTTCACATGGCAGGGATGATGGGGTTTAAGACACAGGGGCACCCCCTCACTCCAATTAGCTACAGACCAGACAGCTGATGAGAAAGGACTGCTGCATGGGGGCTGAGAGATCCCCCCTTGGAGGAACCTCTCCTCTCAAGACGAACCGTGAGGCCTCTAGTTGCCTCCAGCAGGTAGAAGAGGAGGGGAGATAGGGGAAAGGAAATGGGGTCTAGTGGTATAGGGCACAGCTGGCTTAAGCCTCACAGGATAGTGCAGGTAGGATGTCCCGCTTCACAGGGTCCAGGTTTTGACTCCTGGAGCCTCTATTCTTGGAAAGATCCCTTGCTCACACCCCATTTCACCTTGGCTGATGGCCAGGCCTCTCAGACAGAAACCAGAGGTCAAAAACCCCCAAACAAACCATAAGTTAAGTGTTCCCCCTGAACAGGACAAGGGCTTAGGGACAGCCCTCCCCTTCCCTCAGCAGAGGTCATTCTCTAGTCCTCCTCCGAGGACCATGACTCTCCATCGCCTTCTCTCTGAGTGAACTTCATGAACTGGCCCTGACCCAGGTGAAGAGGAACCCTAGGCCAAGGATCCTTCAAGGAACCACCCTCCTCCACCTCTAAGGGGCTCCCTTGGTCTCCCTCAGGGGTCCCCAGCTTCCCAGGCCCTCCTCCCTCAGACTGTTCCAGCCTGTCCACTAGCCCCCCATTCATGTGCTCTGTCTCCTCCTCCCAGCTGGGACCACCTTGGCCATTGACACCAAGAGTTTCCTGTACGCCCTGGTCCTTCCCTCCACTGGAGATGTCCAGGGGACTGGAGACCTTGTCCTCCCTGTCCAAGGAAACCAAGTCAGATGCCTCCTCTGAGCTGGAAGGTTCGGGGCTGTCCGGGGACTCAGTCTCCAGGGCGGTCATGGGGGCATCAGCAACCATATCCCTTAAGCCACCATCCCAGGGAACACTGACCCCCCCAGACTCAGACTCCATGAGGTCCCCTCTGTGTGGGTCGCTCAGGGTCTGCATGCTGCCCGCAGAGGACCCTTGTCCCCACTTCCCAGCCCCTGGTCCCCTTTCCTCCTCTTCATCCTCCTCCTCCTCACCTTCCTCCCCCTCCTCTCCACTCTCTTCCTCATCGGCAAACCCATCAGACTCCTCATCTCGATCCCAGGCTGCAGGCTCCAGTAGCAGCTGGGGTACCTGCCTCAGGGGTTCCTCCTCCTCTCTGGAAGCCCCAGGAAGGAGGGAGGCCTCTGTGCCCAGGTCCTCAAATTCCTCAGACACATCAGAATCATGGCTGCCCTCATCTCCCTCCTCCTCTTCTGAAGGTTGGGCCCTGAGGTCCTCAGAAGGCAGAGTAGCAGGCTCCTCGCTTTCCTGCCTGGTCTTCTCCTGAGGGGAAGGCCTCTCCTCTCCCATGGGGCCCCATTCAGAGGATGGGGACCCTGGCAAGAGGACTAGGGGAGTAGAGTCAGGAAGGGTCTCCCCCAGCTCATCAGCATCACTCTCTTCTCCACTCTCTTGCCCCACTTCCTGGAGGTCCTCAGGAATCCCCTCAGAACCCAACTCATCTCCCTCTAAATTTTGGGGGACCTCAGCCCTACCTTCCAGTTCCCAGCTAGACCCTTCATTCCCCTCACTCTGGGGCTGGGGCCTAGGGGCATCTTCAGGGAGTGAGGAAGGTACCCAGGGATCATTTGGGCTGGGGGATCCCAGCACTGGTTTTGTATCCACTTCTGACCTGGCCTGAGGAGCGCTGTTTTCATCCAGGCTCAGGGTCTCAGCAGGGAAACCCTCCTCTGTCCCCAGTGCTGCCTCAGACTCGGAGTCCTCCCAGCCCTCTGATTCCTCAGGCTTCTGGGGGTCTCCGCCTTCCCTGGGCTGGCTGGAAAGCTCTGACTCTGGAGCATCTGCCTCCTTTAGGTCCTGCACAGGACCTTCCAAGCCCTGACCTTTCACTGCCTCCAAACCTTCCTCCTCTCGGGGCAGTTCCATCAACTCCTCTCTGGCCTGATAACCTGGGTCCTCCAGCCTTACTGCTTCCTGCTCCTGTCCCTCCACAGCAGACTCACCCAGAGTTGTCTCTGACCCCACGGCGGCCTGGGGGGAGGCTGGGTTACTCCCCAGAGCAACATGTACATCTTCCACTGCGGGCTTTACCTCCCCTGGCAGCCCCAGGGTACCTTCAAGGCCCGGGGCCCCCTTCTGGTCTGGTTGCCCTTCAGGATCTTGGAGGCCCGCATCACCTCCTTCCTCCTTGGTTCCCTCAGCTGGGACTCTCTGCTCCTCGGGCTCAGGGCTCCCTGAGTGCTCTTCACCTATGCTCCATGGCTCCCCTACAGCGTTCAGCTGTGGTGTTAGCTCTACTGGCTCCACAGCCGCCTCCTCAACAAAACTGTCTGGCTCACTTGGGTTCAACTCTGCTGCTTCTGCATTTTCCACTTCAGGCCTCCCAGATGGGGGTTCCTGGCTCAGCTCTTGGTCCTCTACATTTTCCCACCTCTGTTGAGCTGCAGACAGTGGCAGTTCCTGTCCCTCATCTCCTGGAGACCTCAGTGAATCTTGACTCTCTCCCTTTCCCTCCTCTTCCAGGTCACTTTGACATTCCTCGTCCATCTCTTCTGAAGATTTCAAATTTTCTAGGTCCCACTCACCCAGAGATTTTAACGGTTCTTGATTTTCCTTTTCTAGTTTCAGTGCCTGCTGGGACTCATCCACAGATCCCACTGGTTCTTGAATTTCCTTTTCTAAAGCCTTTGTTGTCTCCTGATTCACTTCAAGAGACCAGCCAGGCTCTTGAGTTTCAAGAGGTTTCAACATTTCCAAGACTTCTGCAGACTTTCGTGATTCTAGCTTCTCTATTTCTAAAGACTTCACTGCCTCTAAACTCTCTTCTTTTAGAGCTGTTAGTAGTTCTTGATTCTCTTTTTCAAGAGGCTCTGATGTCTTCTGGTCTTCTTCTAGAGACCTCAGTGACTCCTGAATCTCATTTTCAAGAGATCGCAAGATTTCTTGGTTCTCTTCTTCTTGAAGAGACCCCACTGGTGCCTCATCTATATTTTCTAGGGTCTCTTGATTCTCATTATCTAGACACCTCAGTGGATCTTGATTCTCTTGTGATGGAGGTCTCAGTGCCTCTGGGTCCTCGGCTTCTAGACACCTCAGTGGATCTTGATTTTCTTGGGATGGAGGTCTCAGTGTCTCCTGATCCTCTACATCTTGAGATTTCAGTGGTTCTTGAGTCTCCTTTTCTGGAGTTCTCAAGGACTCTAACTTTTCCTCTTCTAGAGACCTCACTAGTTCCTGATTTTCCTTTCCCAGAGATAAAAATGTCTCTAAATCTTCACCAGAAGACCTCTGGAGTTCTTGATTCTCCCTTCCTAGAGACTGCAGTATCTGTGAGTCCTCTTTTTCTATAGGGGTAAGTAGCTCTAGAGTTTCCTTTTCTAGTGATCTGACCACCACTAGATCCTTTTCTTCTAAAGATTCTGACAGCTCCTGCTGCTCCTTTCCTAGAATTTCTGGGGTCTCTAAGTTCTCGTCTAAAGATTTCAGGGACTCCTCATTCTCCTTCTCTAGAGATCTCAGTGTCTCACAGCTCTGTTTCCCCTGAGACATTAATGGTTCTTGAATCCTCTCCTCCAGAGACTTCAGAGTTTCTTTTTCCAGAAGACTCTGGGGCTCCTGGATTTCCTTCCCATCCCTATCTCCCTCCTCTCGCCGTGGTTCCTGCTGTAAGCTGCCTCCCATTTTCACTTCTATGGCGGCTTCTTCCTCTGCCACTTGCCCTATTTGTGCTCCACCTTCCTTCTGGGATATGTTGGACACTCCAGACCCACTGGGCTCTCCATCTTTGGCCTCTAACCTAGCATGATGAGGGATGAGGGGTGGGGCCAAGAAGTCAGGATCCTCAGAGGACTGGCCTCGACTGGCCTTTTGCTGCTTGCCCCCAGGTTCCTCTGATCCTGGAAGGATGCTCGAAGGGATGGTGCTCACCTTGGCTTCAGGCCACAGGGATTCTGAAGCCTGTTGCTTCCCATTCTGTGACTGGAGGAGGGAGTTAGGGGCCTCCTGGGCTCTGATCTCTGTATGTGTAGAAGTGCAAGGGGCCTGGGGTGTGGGGGGAATAGGGGTGCTGGCCAAAGTGGGGGTACAAGTCTGCAGGAATTCCTGGCTCTTCAGAAAGGCTGGCATAGCTTTCTTAAGGGTATCAGGTACGGGTGAGGTGAGGGGGGTTGGGCTCAAGACAGGAAGCAAAGGTCCCAGACGCCGGCCTTCTGGGGTCCCAGGTAAATGAAGTTCTGGTTTTGGATCTGGGGGGCAGAGGGGGAAGAAAAAGAGTCAGAGTTTATGGTTAGGGAGGGGAGTCACCCCACTTCTGGCAGGAATGTTCATGGGCCCTGCTCCTGGCCCTACCTAACTGGACTGAGAAAATGCATAGAGGTCAAGAAAATAAAAATTGGGATTGGTGCCCCCTCAGGGAAGAAATGGGTGTGCAGTATGAAGAGCAAGGAGGGGTAGCATTTCAGAAGGAGCCTAGTGCCTTCTCTTACCGAGGAAGCTGAGGGCAGCCTTGGAACTGCTAGGTGTCTGCAGTCGGGTGTTCTCAGCCTCCAGGAGGGTTCTAGGGACCAAGAAGGAAAATCTGCGTCAGTTCTCTGCCTCCAGGCAAGATCGCCTGGAAGACTCACAGTTGAGCCTCCTCAGGCCCAGCCCTGCAGCCTTCCGCTTCACATCCCCACCCTCACAGCTCACGAGGGCATGCCTGGCTGTGCACACTGCGTACCCACAGACACCACACACTTGGTCACACAATCAGGACACAGAGTTAAGTTTATAGTAACAGAAGCAGATTCCCATGCAGCGGCCTGGGCACATGCGCAGAAGCTCACACACATATCGCTTAGACTTGCCTCCCCTTCCCCACCCCAGGCCAATGACCTCATCCTCAGTGTGGGGGTCCAATTCTTATGCTAATTGCTACTCATTGTCCAGGAAGCCATCTGGAGGGTCGGAGAAGGGGGGCTTCCCAGGGGAAGTAGAATTCTTAGGCTGTTCCCATGGGATGGGCTCCCCTCCTCCTTCCCTGGGGCTCCCAGAGCTAGCCACAGACAAAAGCAAATTAATTCAAGCCCCTCTCTCCCAATCCTTTTCATGCCTCAAAACCCAGTGCTGAAATTCCTGGGGGCCTACCCAGACCCCTTCCCTCATTGGTTTGATTGGGGGTCAGAGCCTTGACCTTGGGATCTCAAAGCACTCTAGATCCCAGGCCCCCAAGGCAGTGGAGGCCTTTATGTCCACACCCCTGACTCAATGCCCCATGGAGCTACCTAGAGGCATGGAGGAGGTACTCTCTGCTCCTCTTCTGAGTCTGGTTAGTCCTCCCTATGCTGCATCAATTGCCCTGAGACCTACCCTCAGTGGAGGTTGAGCCCTTCTCCTCTTCCTTTCTCCCTCAGAGACACATTGATCTTCCCTTCTCTGCATCCTATCTCCCCTCCCCTCCTGAACATGTCCCCTGGGCCCCTTCCTTTTTGCCAACAGACTCTGGGGAAATTATCCTAACAGCTTATCCAACCCTGGCTCCCTTCTTGCAGACTTGATATACTCAGCCCTTCCTGATTTGCAAAGCCCCTTCTCAGAGTTCCATGACTAGTTCTCCACACAGCCAACTTGGTGAGTTTTCTAGAACAGACTTCAGGTTACTCAAATGCATACAGAAAATGCTTGGTGGCAGGAATGGAGAATGTAGGCAATAAATACAAGGACTGGACTAAAGGCCTGAGGCCCAAGTCAGTAGTACAACCACCTCACACCTGGTGTTCCTCCCAAGACCCCCATCCCCTCAGTGTGAACACACACACAGAAACCTGGAGTCTTTCAGCCCCTCAGGAAGCATGGATGCAGATGTGCTACATGTACCCAGGCGCCTTTGCTGAGACAGCTCCACTCAGCAATATCATGTTTCTTTGGCACAGGCAACCTTTTTGGTTCTTAACCCATGGAGGAAGAAGGTGGGCTCTGGTGGGACCTATCTTGGTGTGGAAGTGATTGGAACCAGGTGGGACATATCCTGGTCTACAAGTGTTTGGCTTTGGGTCACAAAACTCGGTGGTGGCAGAGTTGCTGCCAACCCAGTCTCTGGGCCCCAGTCACTTCAGGGGTCTCTGCCTGGAAGATGTGTTCAAGTCTGTGAGCATTGCTGGGCTGGGGTCAACTTGCACCTGTATGTGGCCACCTCCAGGCTGAGGGACATCTTGAGGTGTGCCAGCTGCTGCCGGCCTTCCAGGATCTGGGCGATCTGGGTCTGCAGGCCCTGCTTCTCTTGTTCCAGGGCCTCCACCGCCAGCTGCAGAGCAAATCAGAGGCAGTCAGTGAAGAGGGGAGGATTCTTCCATCTAACTCAGTGTCTGGCCCCTTTAAACAGGCAGGCCTCCTGTATCCCCTACCCGAGTTTCTGCCCAGAAAGCCCCCTCTGGCGCCTCTGAGATGCGCACAGGGGCCTCTCTCAGCCCTCTCCCACGGCCTGGCTCTTCCTTTGAGGATGCTGAGTAAATGGTAGCATGTGCTGTTCAGGATTCAGCTCCCACAGGAAGGGGGAGGCAGGCTAGAGAGGAGAGGGCTGGGTTACAGAGACAAGTGGAGGCAGAAGGAAAAAAGATTAATCAAGAGGCCTGGAGTCCACAGGACTGGACGCCAAATAGCTGAGTCCATCACTGTCTCTCCTGCTCCTTGTCAGGTCCCCCTGCCCCCTCTACTTCCCACACGTTCTGGAATCTTCCTCCTCTGAAAGGAGGAGGGGTGGTGGCTAAGGCGAGACCTCTGTCTAGCCCAGGCAAGAGGCTGTTTTCTCAGCTGCTGGTCACAGCTGTGCAGTGTGAGGGGGAGCAGCTGTCCCAGGCCTCTGGAATGCACTGCAGGGAGCTTGGAAGTTGTGACACTGGAGAGAGGATGGTGGCCACTCATCCAGGGCCTCATCCTCCTGTTAGAGAGAGGACTGTTAGAAATCCTGAGTTAGACTTTCCGACTGATTGAGGGCAACGTCCTGGGTACTTCTGGGTGATAGCAGTCCCAAGGGTGGGGCACAGGTGTAGAGGATGAGGGGGTTGCTGTAATGAGGTCCTAAGAGCTCTTCCTTTCCAGACTCAGGAAATCCTATTCTTTCCACCCCACTCCAGAAAGGACTTTGAAACCTGCGGAACTAGTGGTAGATTTCCTGAGAAGTGGTCCTAGAAAACACAGCCCCTCTCCCCCCTCCCCCTGTTCCTCCTCCTTCCCCGGGAGACCTCTGAGCCCCATAGAAGCTTCAGGAAGCCTGGTCCCACCTAGACCCAGGACATCCTTACCTGGAACTTCTCAGTGGCTTGAAGCCGCTCCTGCCAGCGGCCCTCCAGCCTCTGCTCCAGGGCAGCCCGGCGCTCCTGAAGGCCCCCACGCTCGGCCTGTAACTGCTGCAACTCCAGGCGGCCCTCCCGGGCGCCCTGCATCGCGCGGCCCAGCCGCTCGCGGGCTTGACCCAGCGACGTCTCCATGTGCGCAACGCGCTCCTGGTAGCCGCGCACCGCCCCGCGCCATGCCTCGCCCAGCCGCTGCGCAAGCTCTTCCACCTCAGGGGCCGGCGCGGGGGGTCCACGGGGTGGCGCCGGGCCTCGGGGGGCGCAGGCAGCCTGCGCGTTTAGAGTGGCGCGCTCCTCCTCGTGCGCCGCGCGCAGGGCCTCCAGCTCGCGCTCAAGATCAGCCACCTGGGTGCTCAGCCAGGTCTGGGAACATTTCTCGGCCTCGACCGCCCGCTGGCTGTGGGTTGCCTCGGCCGCCGCCCGCTCCCGGGCCAGACGCTGCTGCTGGTACCGGCCCGCCACACCCTCCAACTCTTCTGCCAGGTTGTCGCGTGCCACTTCGGCAGCGTGCTTCTCTCGCCAGCGCTGGTCCACGAGGGCCCGTAGGGCCGCCAGCTCCTCATCAGCGCGGACCCGCCAAGAGGCATCTGCAGATTGTGCCCTAAGACCCCCGAGCTCTGCGCTCAGCAGTTCGTTCTGCTCCTCCAGTGCCTTCACCCGGGACAGGTAGTTCTCCAGGCGCCGGTTAAGTTCCCACATCTGAAAAGACTCCTCCCCCAGGCAGCCCTCCATCCTGCTCGTCTGGCCTACCGAGGTATGGGAGAGATGGAAGCAGTTCTCAGAGCTGAAGGGCCAAAGTTAAGAGAGGCCAAAGGTGGCGAGGACAAAGGAGGGTCGGGCGGGAGTAGTCACTCGACTGGGAGCCCCGTCGGAGCGAGGCTATTCATACTCCCGCCAGCCGGGCGGGAAAAGGGGCGGGGTCCGGACCTTAACCCGTTAGAGTTCGGAGACTTCCTTAGCCACAGCCCCTGTCCCTGAGTTAGCGAGGTGCTGAGGAGTGGGACCAAAGGGGCCCGTGGCCTGGACGACCCGGAGTGGTTTTATGATGTAGAAGCCTGAGACGAGGGAGCATAATCTGTGATAAAAGCAGATGATTCGCTAAATTGAGCCTATGCAGAGCATGCCAAAGGAGGCTGACCTGAGGAAGGGGTGCATGTCTCAGTTACTCAGCACAGACAAGGGCGCAGGGGTAATATTACTAACTTCATTCCTCTAGCACTCAGTTTCTTCATGCGTGAAATGGGCGCGATGATGGAAACCCCATAGGGCTGCTGAAAGGACCACTCTTTGTAAACAACAGGTGCACCCTTGTGAGACTCAGAAAGGGGGCAGCATCGCAGAAAGAGACTGGGAGACGCAGTCTGCAAAACAAGAACAAACTGCTGTTAGGACACACGCAGGCGCGTGCGCGCGCGCGCGCGCGCACACACACACACACCCCACCTTCAAAATCTCCATCAGGAAACACGGACTCAGCATAGATTGATATGTCCTCCCTGTTAGCCACCTCCATTCCTCCTACCATCCTTCTAGATAACCTAATAATCACATGCATACCCACTTTAAGTAATGGAAGGTTTCCCCAGTTCTCAGAGAAAGGCACCTCATCCTGTCCGGATGCTGTTTTGGGGAGAACAGGGTGCCCCCTGGTGGCTTGGGTATCAGACCATGGAGAGGAAAACAGAAGCAAAGGGCTGCCCATTTATTCACAGTTACCCACTGTCCTCCTGGAAGCTCTAGTGACCTAATCCACTAGGAGTTACGCTGCTAACTCAGACATGGCGCCTCCTAAGGAGAAAGATGGGCAGTCCCCTCCCATGTGATTTACAGCCTCTAAACCCCCTGGAAGATCATCTGTGAATTGATCCAGGCTGCTCCTTGGAGTCAAGGATTCTGTTTTTGGTGTTTTTGTTTGTTTGTTTGTTTAATTTTATTTTTTTTGTGTGTGTGTACCGTCAAATCGGATCTGACTGGTACAGAAGGAGATTGCCCCTCCTTCTCCAGCCAAGCATCTGGTGGATTTGAACCGCATACCTCTGGGATTGCAGTGCAGCTTCTTGCCACAAGGCCACCAGAGCTCCCTGTAGTCAAGGATTCTGAAGCTCCCTCTGACATGTTACACGGCGGGACCAGTCCTTGGAGAGGGACGTCATGCTTGGGAGGGTGGAGGGACAACGCAGGAGGGGAAGTCACTGGGGTAAGTGGAGTTAGGTGAGTCGGAGACAGTAAGATTAGCAAGGGATAGAGCAGGGTTTAGGGCTGTTGTACATAGGGTCGCTGTGAGTCACAGATGACTCGATGGCACATAACAACAACAACATAACAACATGGCAATGAGATGTTAAGCACTGCTAAGGAAGCTCTGGAGGCATAGTGGGTTGGGCGTCGCGCTACTAGCCCAAAGGTGGCTCGGGTTTGAAACCATTAAGGGCTCTGTGGGGGAAAGAGGGATACTCTCCTCCCACATGATTTACAGTCTCAGAAAACCCACTGAAGGGCCAGCTATGAGTCGGCAAGAGTGGATTCTGATTCAAGGCAACCTTCCATTGGTTTCAGAGGCTATCCATCTTCTTTCCCAGAGGAGACTGCCCAGTGTGGTTCCATGGAACAGCAGGTGGATTCAAATGACTGACTTTTCCGTTAGCAGCACATTATGCCACCAGATCACAAGGTTACTGAGTCTCTTTAGTAAATGCTAAATCTTATGCTAATATTGTACTTCAGTTATCTATCTAATGTAATCCTCAAAACAACCCTTTGAGGGGAGCTCTGGTGGCCTAGTGGCAAGAAGCTGCACTGCAATCCCAGAGGTGCACGTTTCGAATCCACCAGATGCTCTGCCGGGGAAGG